CCTTAGTTACCAACATTATGTATTCCAAAATTGATTACATATACATAAATTAGATATTACATAATAATAATATATACAAATATAATATATAATAATATATATTACATGTAATATTATATATATTACATGTATATATGTCACAGTCCATGGAGAAAGCTGGAGACTAGAAAAATGTTACTATTTCATTAGTAGCTTTATTTATATCATAATCCAGTTCAATTCAATTTTAAGTTCAAAAGTAAACTAACAGAAAAATTCGTCAATACGTAATGTTTTAATTGGCCCAAAGGATTTTCAAAAAAATTGTTAAAATTGAATTGAGGATTCCTTTACACAGTTTGAAAAAGATGTGCTGAGATATTTTATCTAGAAATAGCTTCTGATGGGTACCAGGTAAAAAGTAAAAAACAAAACATGGTGATGTAACAGAATATTAATTGCAGGGTGTACATCATAACAATTCCATGTTTTTATATACTGCAAAATGACCACCACAGAAAGTTGGATTAATATCCATTACCACACATAGTTACAATTTTTTTCTTGTAATGAGAACTTTTAAGGTCTGTAGGCATACCTCAGAGATATTGTGGGTTTGGTTCCTGATCATGGCAATAAAGTGAACATTATAATAAAAGAAGTCACATGATTTTTTTGGTTTCCAAGGGCATGTAAATGTTATATTTACACTATGCTGCAGTCTATTTAGTGTGCAATGGCATTATGTCTGAAAAATGTACATACTTTAATTTAAAAATACTTTATTGCTATAAAAAATGCTAACCATCAAAACTTTAGTGAGTCATAATCTTTTTGCAGATGGAAGGTCTTGCCTCAGTGTTGATGGCTGCTGAATGATCAGAGGAGTGGTTGATGAAGTTTGGGGTGGCCGTGATGATTTCTTAAAATAAGACAATAATAAAGTTTGCTGCAGTGACTGACTCTCCACGAAAAATTTCTCTGTAGTAGGCAATGCTTTTGGATAGCATTCTGTGCACAGTAGAACTTCTTTCAAAATTGGAGTCCATCCTCTCAAACCCTGCCCTTGCGTTATCAACTAAGTTTATATAGTATCCTAAATCCTGTGTTGTCATTTTAACAATCTTCATAGCATCTTCACCAGGAGTAGTGGTTTCCAGCTCAAGAGGCTTTGGCTTAAGGGAATGTTGTGGCTGGTTTGATCTCCTATCCAGACCACTCAGACTTTCTCCATCTCAGCAATAAGGCTGTTTTGCTTTCTTATCCCTTGTGTGTTCACTGGTACAGTAATTTTGATATCCTTCAAGAACTTTTTCTTTGCATTTACAGCTCGGCTAACTGGTGCAAGAGACCATTTTATGTACATGTTGGCCATTTGTATGTCTTCTTTGGAAATACATCTATTCAGATCTGCTCCCCATTTTTAAATCAGATTTTTTTTTTCCTGTTGAGTTGCATGAGGTTTTTTTTGGGGGGGGTATTAACCCCTTATCAGATGTATGAGTTGCAAATAAATATTTCTCCCACTTGGTAGGTTGGTTTTTCATTTTGATGATGGTTTCTTTTGCTGTGCAGACTCTTTTTAAGTCAATGTTGTCCCATTTGTTTATTTTTACTTTTGTGGCCTTGGCTTTTGGTGTCAAACCCAAAAAATCATTGCCAAGACTAATTTTGAGGAGATTATTGCCTATTCTCTTTTAGGAGTTTTATGGTATGAGGTATTATGTTCAAGTCATTAATCCACTTTAAGTTAATTTTTATATATGGTATAAAATAGTGGCCCAGTTTTCTTCTTTCACATGTGGCTGTCCAGTTTTCTCAACATCATTTATTGAAGACAGTCCTTTCCTCATTGTATATCCTTGGCTCCTTTATCATAAATTAACCATATTGTGGGGTTTCTTCCTGGGCTGTTTATTCTGTTTTGTTGATCTGTGTGTGTGTTGTTATGCCAACACCATACTGTTTTGATTACTATAGCTTTGTAATAAAGAACAGTTATTCATGAAAGAAAGGACAAATATTTATAGAGCATCTCCAGGTGGATTCATAGATACTCTTTTACTTTAACCTCAAGAAGCCCTGGTGGGCTTTCCTGTGCCCTCTCCCGGATGAGGAGTGTGATCTCAGAGCAGTGAAATGGCTTGTTCAGAGGGAAATGCTGATAATGCAGAGGCCTGGGTCCTGAGCCCAGTTCTATTAAAGCTAAAATACTATTGCATTTGGTACATCTTCAGCCAGATGCTTTTACACTTCACAGAGTCCAGATATAAACTTAAAAGAATATAAAAATAAAAATATTTTAGGCTATAATATCTAAATGTCCTGTAAAGAAGGAATTCAAGTGGACTGTGAGGGCAAAATAGCAATAAGTCAAAATGGGAAACAGAGATCTTTGGTAATCAGAAAAAAAGAAAGCAAGCTGCATCCACACTGGACCACAACTTGAAAAGGAGAATAGAGTCCCTTAATTGTTCAGGTTACCCAAGACCCCAAGAGACTCTGGTTTATAGGTGGTAAAATACAGTATGTAAGATCACTGGTTCACAAGCCAGTCTGCCACTTTCTAATGCGAGATTGGTAGTGGCCACATTATAAACTTCTCTCTGATTTTTTTTTCTTTCTCATCCATAAAATGGAGGAAGCATTATTAATTTGTAAGGTTTTGGGGAGTTTAAAAAGTGATATGTATGTTTTAAGTTAACTAAACCTAATATGACTGAATTTATAAAGCTGTCACAAGGGCAGATCAAGTGAGTAAGATATAAATTATGATGATGTGTTAGTCATTTCCTTTGGTAACTGAAACTTTCATTTTCCAATCAATAGTATTGAGATTTCACATTACTCTTCAAGTCTATAAGAAATCAAAAAGAGTTAAACTTCTTATTCTGAGCAAACAACAAAGTAGCAGAATTCTTGACTTCCAGTCATATATTGAATTAAAGCAGAATTCAATAAAACTAGCAGAAAATAATAGAGAAAAGTATCAATTAATGCAAAAATCTGTTGCTTGAAAAGATGGATAAAATCAATAAACTTGTAGACAGATAATGAAGAAAGATAGAAGACACAACTTGCCAATTTCAGGAATAAAAAGGAGAACTCACTACAGATCCTACAGACATTAAGATGGTAATAGTATTAAAATCTTTATTCTGATAAAATTCATAATTTAGATGAAGCAGATACATTTTATAAAAGACGAAAACTATCAATGCCCATTCAAGAAACAATAGATAACCTGAATATATATTTTTATCTATTAAATAAGTAGGATTATTGGTTAAAAACTGCCCACAAAGAAAACTCCAGGCTTAGATGCCATCACTTGTGAATACTACCAAGCATTTAAGGAGGTAATAATACCAACTTAGCACAAACTCATCTAGAAAATTAAGGAGAAAAAAACACTTATTTTATGAGATCAGTGTTATCCTGATACCAAAACCTAACACGATAATTACAAGAGAAGAAAACTAAAGACAAATATCCCTTATAAACACAGATGCAAAATACTTTAACAAAATTTTAGTGAATTGAACACATTAATTTGTAAAAAGACAATGCATCATGACAAATTGGATTTTATCACTGAGTTGTCAGACTGGTTCAATATTGAAAAATGAACTTTCTTTGGATTATTGTTTGAATCATATATCTTTTTTCATCCTTTTAATTTTAAACTTTCAGAATCTTTATATTTAAATTGTGTCTTTTACAAATAGTACAGAGTGAGCTTTTGTGTTTTAATCCAATCATTGGGAAAAGAGATTATAGATTTTTCTATATCTCCCTTCAATTCTGTACTTTTTTGCTTTTTATCTTTTGAAATTATATTATTAACTGCAACAAATTAAGAAATAATATGTCTTATTTGTTTGTTGAACATTTTTTCATTATGAATTATTTCTCTAACTCTAGTAGTGATTTTTGCTTTAATAGCTTTTTGTCTGATAAATTAGACTGGATGAAAATTAAAAACCAATCATCAAATGCACTATTAAGGCAATTAAAAAAAATCAAAACATAGGTGGAAAAAGACATCTGCAACACATATCTGAAAAGAGGCATGTCCCAGAAATAAATAAAGAAATAAAGAACGTATCAATCACTAAGAAAATGTCAAATACCCAATAGAAAAATGGGCAAAACATCTGAACAGGCACTTCAAAAAATGATATTTAGAAGCAAGATGGCAGAGTAGAAGGATGCTTGTGGCTCACCCTCTCCCACAAATACACCCAAACTCACATCTATGGACCTACTCAGCCAACCAAAGAAACTGCTGAACTCCGACAGAACATCACCCTCTTCGAAAGACAAAGACGCCTAAAATCTGGTAGGAGAATAGGACAAAAGAAAGGAGAAAAAAGCAAAACAGTGCAGGACTGATCCCACAGGGAGGGAGTGGCAAAGGAGGACTGACACTCATTTGCTGGGTCTCCCCTCTCCAATGGAGAGGCCAGTAGGATGGAGGTGGAGCCTCTGAGGCTCAGATCTGCCCCAAGCACCCCTTGACCAACAGAACAGAGTTAAACAGGCACAAAGGGTCCCCACAACACCCAGCCCGAGATGTGAGCCAGCAGCTGGGGCTGGGACAGGAAGCCCGAGCCTGGCAGAGGACTGGGGGGGCTGTACTGAGGCAGCCCTGGGGGACTGCAAGTTGCTGCACACCATGGCTGAGAGGGCATACAGAGAAGAACAACCTCAGTCCCCCATAAATTGTGAAAAAAGCAAAGCAACATGGCTGGTGTGCTCTGGGAGGAGGGGCGCCATAGCCTCTGTCACCTCAGACCCGCGCCGCCATTACTCGCTCTTCTCCTGAGAAGAGAGGCGGGGCGCAGCCACAGCTGCCATCTCCTCCTGTGTTCAGCGCCCTGGAGAGGTTGGGGCCGAGACCTGAATCCACAACCCGGGGCTCCACAACCTCCTGGGCAGGACTGAGACTTGCTTACAGCCCGAGGCAGATAGGATCTTTCTGCCCTGACACCTCAGAGAACTCGGGCCACCAAGACAAACAAGGAGCTGAGAGTTGGCATGGAGCAGGGGCGGAGCCATTCCACGGTCTTCCCCGAGCCTGCCGATGGAGTGCTGACCTGAGGCAGAGCTGGCAACTGCACAGAGCAGCAGAGTGGCTGGCACCGGGAGAGGGTGGGTGGCCACCTGCCTTCCTGGCAGGAAAGCAGCACCTGACCGCGGTGCTGGGAAGGGGTGCGATCTGCCCACCTGCCTCCCCCGAGTGCACCATCTGACTGCAGCATCGGGATGGGGAGTGACCTGCCCGCCCACCCACTGGGTAAGAGCTCAGCACCTGACCCAGCGTTGGGAGGGGGCTCGATCTACTAGCCAACAGCTACTGGGAGCAGCACAGATGAGGGTGCCAACAGAGGGCCTCTGGAAACAGAAAGCTGAGTTCGCAAAACAGGGCAAAGACACAAATACCTCTTGATAAAATCATTAAGAGCACACCATCTCCAGGACAACTAGATAACTGATACTCATTAAGCCACAGTGCCAGAGAGATATGAGCAATATGAAGAAGCAGAGGAACCACTCCCAATTAAAAGATGAAGAGAAATCCCCTGAAAGCAAGATCAAAGAAATAGACGTTGATGGCCTGCTAGATCAAGATTTCAAAAATGGAGTGATCGAAGTACTGAAGGAACTAAAATAAAAAGTGTTTAGAGATATAAAATATGTCAAAAACGAAATTGAAGCTACAAAGAAGAGCCAAGTAGAACTGGTAAACTCCTTTGTTGAGATGAGAGCTGATTTAAAGTCTATACAAAGCAGGCTAGATAATTCAGAGGAATGAATAAGTGACCTAGAAGACAGGACAACAGAAAGTACCCAATCAGAACAGCTGAGAGAAAAACAAATAAAAAACAATGAAAACAATATAAGGGACTTATGGGATAACCTAAAGCATGCCAATCTACGCATAATAGGGGTTCCAGAAAGGAAAGAAAAAACTAAGGGGACTGAAAAGGTATTTGAAGAAATCATGACTGAAAACTTCCCAAACCTAAAGAAGGAATCAGATTTCCAAGCACAAGAGGCTCAGAGGGTCCCAAACAAGAAGAACCCAAACAGACCCACACCAAGACATATCATAATCAAGATGGCCAGAGTCAAGGATAAAGAAATGATCCTAAAGGCAGCAAGAGAAAAACAAAGAATGAGTTACAAGGAAACCCCCATAAGGCTCTCAGCTGATTTCTCTACACAAACACTACAGGCCAGAAGGGAGTGGCAAGATAGATTCAGAGTCCTGAATGAAAACAAGGTGCAGCCTAGGATACGCTATCCAGCAAGGCTGTCCTTTAGAATAGAAGGAGAGATAAAGAACTTCACAGACAAGCAAAAACTAAAAGAGTTTAGTAACACTAAACCCATGCTAAAAGAAATAGTCACAGGTCTACTCTAAATAGAAAAGAAGCAGGATGCTACAAAAATGAGAAACTCATACTGGAAAGGAGATAACTATGAATTACAAAAAGAATAAAAGAAAACATCTAAATCATTAAGAGTGGGAGAGGGAAGCAAGGAAAGCCACTGTGGAAAACAGTATGGAGATTCCTCAAAAGACTAGGAATAGACTTACCATATGACCCAGGAATCCCACTCTTGGGCATATATCCAGAAGGAACCCTACTTCAGAATGACACCTACACCCCAATGTTCATAACAGCACTATTTACAATAACCAAGACATGGAAACAGCCTAAATGTCCATCAACAGATGACTGAATAAAGAAGCTGTGGTATATTTATATGATGGAATACTATTCAGCCACAAAAACCGACAACATAATGCCATTTGCAGCAACATGCATGCTCCTGGAGAATGTCATTCTAAGTGAAGTAAGCCAGAAAGAGAAAGAAAAATACCATATGAGATTGCTCATATGGGGAATCTAAAAAACAAAACAAAACAAAACAAAACAAAACAAAACAAAACACAAATACAAAACAGAAACAGACTCATAGACATAGAATACAAACTTGTGGTTGTCAAAGGGGTGGGGGGTGGGAAGGAAAAGACTGGGATTTTAAAATGCAGAATAGATAAACAAGATAATATTGTGTAGCACAGGGAAATATATACAAGATCTTGTGGTAGCTCATAGCGAAAAAAAAAATGTGACAATGAATATACGTATGTTCATGTATAACTGAAAAATTGTGCTCTACCCTAGAATTTGACACAACTTTATAAAATGACTATTACTCAATAAGAAATGTAGAAAAAGGATATTTAAATGACCATTAAATTTATGAAAAGGTACTCAACCTCATTAGCAATCAGGGAAATTTAAACTACCATCACATTCAGTAGAAGGGCCAAAATTTAAGTCTGAAAATGTTAACAATTGGCAAGGATGTGGAACAACAGGACCTCTCATATAAATCCAGGAGTACATTAGTACATATTGGTGGATATCGATACCACTGTTCTAGTAAATTTTGACCCTACACCCTACATTTCACCATATACATACCCTGCATTCTGGCAGTTTCTCTCTTAAATACATACCTGTAAGAAACATGTGCACATGTAACCAAAAATATGTATAAGAATATTCATAGCAGCACTATTCATAATTACCAAAAACTACAAACAACCTAAATATTTGTCAGTGGTAGGACGGATAAACTTGGGCACGCTAATAGAATGAAATTCCATATAGCAACTTAAATGACTGAACTATTTCATACAACAATTTGGGTAAAGATTGCACATATATTGAGAAAAAGAAGTCAGACACAAGAAAATACATACCATACAATTCTACTTATAGAAAAGTCAAAAACAAACAAACAATCTATTGTGTTAGAGGTCAGGGAAGTGGTAGGGGTATAGGGTAATTTCAGGAAGGGGAGTAAGGGACTTTCTGGGGTTCAATAACATTCAGTTTATTGAAGTGGGAGGTGGTCACCTGAGTGTCTTTACTTTGTAGTAATTCATCAAGCTGTGAATTTATAATGTTTGCACTTTTCTAAATCTATGTTGTACCACAATAAAAAAGTTAATAGGGGTGGGGAGGGTATAGCTCAATGGTAGAGCACATGCTTAGCTTAGGTACTGGG